AAGACTCGCGGAAGCAAGGCCCGAAAATCTACCGAAAACACTTCGCGGAAGGAGCCACGGAAGGCGGAAGCAAACAAGACTACAGCCAAGACTCGCGGAAGGTCCGCGGAAGGCCGCCGCGGAAGGGCATTGATATCGTAGTGAAATATATAGGAATAAAAACCATGGCTCAATTGCCAATAAACACAACGAATATTTTTCTTGGGCGCTGGCCAACAAGCAAGAGCAGCGCGCAAAAAAAAGCTGCAACGCGCCTGCTCAGACCAATTGACTTCAAGCAGGGCACTGTCGGACAAAGGTGCAGCTTGGGGAATTTTATCCGGTCATTTAGGAACTGTCGTTGGCAGGGGCCAAAAGAGATTCTGTAGGATGCAAATGCCAGGATTATGCCCCAGTTCAAGGCCCGGGTCTCAGCGCTTGAAGTTATGAGTCATGCCTCTGTTAGTTTTTAGCTGTAGGGACGGCCAAAGGCATTCCTCAACTTCTGCTAGAGAGAGTCATGCTGGCAGCCAGCTTTGCAAAATTTTGGCAGGGCAGCTTGCCAAGTCCGAAATCATGCTTTCCGTTGCCTGCTTTTGGCGCATTTCCTTAGGAGGGTTCCGGCCTCTTAAACTTGTAACAGAAGCCTAGCGTCCTCCGATGCCACTCAAACTCGATCATTATTTCCACCGTGCCACTCCCTCCAAGGATACCCTCGACTCTGTGAGCAGTCTCAGCAGAGATGGGCGCAGACGACGTTTCCTGAACCAGATGGACAGAATGTAGCGGGAGCCAATCAGATGTAGTTTCTTTTGGGTCTTATTGAGTCTTTGCTGCAGAAGTCGGAAAGATTGTCGCCTACCCTGCTCATCATGCTCTTCTGCTTAAAAACGGGCTTGCAGGCTCAAATAGAGTCAGAAAATCTAACAGTTCTCGGAATGGTTCAAGGTGAGATCAGACTTGGCTGGCTGACACTGCGCAGATCTGTGCAGGACGCGCCAATGCACGAAGCTTTCCTGCCAGTTGCTGATATGCCTGTCATCGTTCAAATGTCGACCGGCAGGCTGGGTTTTGCACTGAGAGCTGCTGGCCGGAGTAGCGCCTGCATTTTACGATTGATAGGAGCGTCCTCCACATCTTCAGAAACCTCGTTAAGCTGGACTGAACATGTGGCATGTTTGACGAAATTTGCGCTGCCTGCTTGACAGCCTGGCATGAGGAGACGCCCGTCGTTCTGGTGGTTGTATGCGGCCGCCAGGCTGATGCCAGGGCAGAGTCAGCCTCTCAGTCTGAACATGTTGGGACTGAAAACAGCGCAGAAAGCCTTGCATGCTTCATCACGGCTCACGTTTACGACCCTGTGCGCAGACGTGTACTTTCTTGGGCCGAACAGCGGTAATACAACAGAAGACCTTGATGCCAGCACATCAATTGTGCCAGCCAGGCTTGAATCCATGGCCGGGTTCAGGAACATGATGGAAAGTGACTTGAAAGTGAAAGTAGAAGCCACGGGTGGACAGCTTGTACGGACTGGGGTCAGGAGGGCATTTTCAAACCTCTGTCGTCTCACTGATGGGCGAACGGAATGCCGTGCTCAATGTGCTCAACAGATTTCAAGAGTGTGCAGTAGAGCCTTGATATACAGCAGCGGTGTGCACGACTCACACGACCCGTTTTGTCACAGAATTTCTGCCTTGCCCTCCGTGGGCCTTCGCGTCATGTGAGCGCTGAATGTGTTCTCAGCCATTCTTGAGGTTGCAAAAAGTGGATGTTCCAGATCGGTGGGAGGCTTGGGTGCAGCGCCTCCATGATGTCGCAACAACCTGTGCCATGTTTCAGAGTACAGACAAAACAAAACACCAAGAGGGGGCAAGATGGAGGAGACCAAAGGGTGCTGACTGCTAAGGCACCGAGTGGCTCTTCTTGGGTTCACCTCGCGCGCTCCCAAGCGCTTACTTTCACTGAAGCTCTGAAAATACAGGCTGGCTTGTTTCAGGTGCATACACGAGCTCTTGGCCATTGCCGATATTGTCATCTCCAAGCTGATGCCTGAGCTCATGCGCAGACACCCTCGAGTTCGTTCTAATGTTGCACTCAACGTAGCGTGGAGACCCTGTTTCACGTTTGTCGTTGGCTGCTTAAAGTGCCTCAGGCCGTCCTTAAGCAACCCCCAGAGACCTCAGAACAGAGGAGCCTTGTTGAGGACCTCTATTTTCAGGTTCTGGGTGCCGTGCTGTTCGATATTGTTTTGGGTACCCGCCCACCAAGCTCAGGCCGGGAGGCCTGATAACCTCGGAGGCGATGGCATGCAGCTTGATGATGGCAAGCCCCTCTGTCTGGTAGGCACGATATCGTAACCTTCATCCAAGCGTCGAGTGCTGCTCGAGTTTGCGTCCCAGGTAGTCGTTGACCCATATCCTGGGCAAGAAGAGAGAAATGCATCCATGCTGCTGGAGGAAGGGGCAGGCTGAGACACATGAGCCCGCAGTGTCCACAAGTTGGTTACTCATGTGGCTGATGAAACGGCAACGGCAGGGGCATTTACTTGGCGGGATGATGATTTCGGAGACGTAGCCGCGCCGATTGATAAGCAGGGAGGATCAGGTGATGCATGCAATGCCACTGCAGAACTATTTAAGGGGCATCGACTCAGAAATGGGCTGCGCAAGTAGGCCCCCGCCCCCCGCACTCCCTGCTCCTGGCCAGTCCACCTTTCTATGGTGACTCTTTCTGATCGAAGGCTTGTTGAGGCTCCTAATCAGGAGAAGTGTATGACAACAATTTCTTGCTACTTGGGATGTTTTTGGGGTTGGAGAGTCTTGCTCTCTCTAGTTTAACGGAAGATGACCCAAAATGGGGTCCCCATTGCGTCGATACCCGTGCTCCGTACGCGAGCATCATCAGTACAATTGGGACCCTACGTAAAGGTGGAAAAGCTACGAGAAACCATCCAGAGCACCTTGAACGTGGTTTTATGCAAGTTTTCATGCTCTGACTTACATTTTCCATTTGTTGGCTTTAGCTAGGCTTGCATCCGCACTGGACCATGACGGCCAGGCCGGACTTTCAGAGTCTCCGGCTCAAGCCGCCGATCCCAGAGGCAGTCAGGCTCTCCCCAGTAAGACGAGATGGGAATGAGACAGAAAGTCGTAGCAGAACTCATTATGAGGCAGACGGGAAGCAGTTTCACGCCAGCACGGCCGGTATTGCAGCAAAATTAGCGGCCCAACGCTGTGTTCGTGCTATTGTAGCGCCGCCTATGGTTTCACGGACTGGGCATGAGACCAACCGGCGCAGACCAGAGAAGTAAACCGACTGCGGGGAGGGAATCCGCAGCAATCGCAGGACCTTCGGCGAGTGTGTGATGTTGGTGTCAATGCCATGTGCTGCAACACAATGACCTCACTTGATCTGCGGGGTCTGAGGGAAGGCCTTGGAGTTTGAGCAAGCCGAAGTGCTCAGACCCCCAAGACTCTGAGAGGGTTCCAGGCCCGCACTTTGGACAGGCCGAAAGCCTTGCCGTTGGTGTGGAAGCTCAGACGCCTTCATCTTCCAGAAACGCGGCCGGGGTCCCCGCCTACCCACCCCTTCCTCGCATTTTGAGACGAAACGGAGCCAAGGCCGTGCGCAGCTGCAGGTCTGTAGTTTTAGGTGTCCAAATTCAGGACTTCTTTCCAGACCTTCACCGACCTCAATCCATGCACCTTCAGGGATGTTTGCTGGTTTGGGAACACAGCAAACTGAAGCCGTTGCTCCTTTTGCTGCTTTTGTTTCGCAAGTGTGCTGTCGCTGTTGCCGTTGACTTTCTTCTCGCATGACTACTTCTTAAAGGTACGCTCTTCTTTCCATGATACGATCGTGCGTGATTGCCCCGTCGTATTCGAAGTTGCAGTGCTGGCACTGGTGTCGGGGGGCAGTGGTATGGTGGTGGTGATGATGATGATTATGATGATGACGATGATGACGGTTCTCACCATGAGATTTAGAAGTGACGTAGGGGCTTTAGCAGTAGCAGTCGCAGTAGCAGGGGACACGCTGCTCAACAAGTTGGAGAACTGCAGCAAGAAGTGAAGTTTTTTTGGGCAGCAATGCACACCGAAGCAGGACTCCGAAATTTATACCCAGATGTCAGAAAGGGAAGCCTAGCCACGCGTACAGGTGAATCCACAGTTTTTTGTGAGCCACGGTAGCTTCTGTGCGCTTGCCAAAAACGATGGGCAGGCATATGGATATGGGACTATCGAGACCTCTCGTTCAGGCTGCCGGCTTGCTTCACCAGGGCAAAAATTGAGCATGAAAGCAGCAATGAGTGAGCTTTACCTTGCTACAAGGTAGGGGCGAGCTGGGAGGTGAAAAAGCACGGAAGTGCAAGAAGTTCTATCTTTTGCCAGGTTGGATCGCATTTTATCTACGCCGCCGGAGGACATATTTTCCTTGAACTGGTACAGGCGGAATGCCGTCACCTCAGCTGAACCAAACAGTTGCGGTAGGTTTCATGCATCAGGAGAAGCAGAGTCCAGCCGAATTCCGAATTGCTCACATGTTGCCTGTCTACCAGGCAAATGCGTTAGCCGCAGAACCCAGGCGCAACGGCTTGCGAAACCCGAAGCTGCACTCAAGATTGCGCGGCTGCTGCCTCAGGGTGCTCGACAGTTTTCGACGGCCTCTGGTCAATGATTGTTTTTGGAAGGTTCACCCTTAAACCGCAGCAATCTACAGCGCATGCTACAGTACAAAAGCAGGTATGTATTGAGTGACGCTCCGCGACAGCGGATGATGCAAGAGGCCGACCCTGCCCCAGCTTTGGAGCGAGTGTGTTGAGTCCTGCGTTGCAAGGGCAGGAGATATTTCCTTTGAGGCTTGGCTTGGTCAAACAACCCAGCCGGATGGGGTGTCAGTTCTGACATGTTCTGACCCATTCCAGAGATTGACAGACTGGTTCTTGGCAAGCGGCAAGACTTCATGAATTTGAAAAACAGCAAGGCTCATCGACCATAGTCAGTTAACTTCGCGACGTACACCCTTCGCATGGGAAAATATGCTGCCACACGTGACTGTCGAGTGCAACAAACACTGCGGCATGTCCAGTGGCTTTGAACAAGAGAAGCCACCAAGCAAGGACAGGTGTAAGCCAAGAGGCACTCGGATAAGTTTCACGAAGCGGGTTTCCTGACAGAGTGTGGGTCATTTGAGAGCACTGCTGCGGAATGTCTGTTAGTTGAGAGGAGTTCGAGCTTGACGTTAGCTCCGGCGACTCACCTCCCACAAATAGTCAGGGCAGCTGGTCAGTGTTCGGAGCTCGATTTTTGCAGTGCACAGATGTCTTGATGTGCGTTCCAATCTGTTTGGATGAAGGTTTGATTATTCTGATGAGTGCGTTGCTACTTGGCTCATGACATTCGAAGAACGCCGAATAGCACGTGGGGTCATTTTCACAAGTGAGGACCGCAGGGGCCGCCGCTCCAGTCACCCGATCCGGCCTTAGCCATGTGGGCGCACTAGGACCATTGCTCCCAGCAGGTTTTCAATATGAAAGATCTTGACAGTGGATTCATGGTCCCGCACTCCGAAATGAGGAGACGTCTTCGATTAAGCGACTTTAAGGACATGAAGGCGCATCGTGTCTCTCTGACCTGCTTCTGTCTTATGGGGCTACGGGCTACTGCATCTGTCCGGCTTTGTAATGCTCATGCCCGGCGTTTGCTTCGCAAGTAGCATGTTGTGAAAGGCACTGGATTCAAATGCCGTGCCTCACGAAGACAGTGACTGCAGCGATGATGTCAGTGAGAACGGGCTCTCAGTGCAGGCGCGGGCATCCCTTTCACTGCATACTGCATGCATACCTACATAAACCATGAAACACCGTGATGATTGGCCGGCTTTGTTGTGGTCGGCATTCTTTAAGCGGAGCCATGGAGCATGGAACGGGGCCGGGATGTTGTGTTAATGCCGGAGACTGCTGGAAAGCAGGGCATGTGCAGACTTGAGATTCTTTGCAGACATTTCCTTGCCTGCGGCGGGAAGGGTTTCTCTGGAGGGAGCCACCGCGGGCAGGAAGAGCTGTTTCTACGGAGATCGTGGATATGTAATCTACAGGAGCTGTTTTCGACGTGCTGTCCAACCCTTCTGGCAAGGATGTCTGAACATGAAGTTGGTGGAGAAAGCCTTTCCCGAGGTAGTTGCCATGCCAAGCTATTGTTTTCAGATAGCTGTAGTGCAAGGTCCAAGCTACAACTCAGCCCAGACCACACTTGCTGCAATTGCGTTCAAGCTCATGTCGCGCCAGAGCGAAAAAGCGCGATTCACGCACCAACCCCGATTCACGCACCCACGATTCACTCACTACGCCGGAGCGATTCACGCACCAAAACGATCCGATTCAAGCACCAAAAAATGCAGATTCCTGCACCAAAAGGAGCCTTGCTTTCGGGCTTTGGGTTTAGGGCTTTGGGTCCAGGGTGTCGGGATTAGAGGGTTGGGTTGGTTTAGAGTTTAGAGCTCAGGGTTTAGGGTTCAGGGTTGGTTTAGGGTTCAGGGTTTAGGACTTAGGGTTCACGGTTGGTTTAGGGCTTAGGGTTTTGGGTTCAGGGTTTAGTTTAGGGCTTAGGGTTCAGGGTTTAGGGTTCAGGGTTGGTTTAGGGCGCAGGGTTTAGGGTTCAAGGTTTAGGGCTTGGGCTTAGGGTTTAGGGTTTAGGATTTAGGGTCTAGGGCTCAGGGCTGGTTTAGGGCTTCGGGGTTTAGGGCCTAGGGTTTAGGGCCTAGGGTTTAGGGTTGAGATTTAGGGTTAAGGGTTTAGGGTTCAGGGTTCAGGGTTGGTTGGGGGCTTACTTAGGGTTTAGCTTTGAGGTTTTAGGGTCAGGGTTGGTTTTGGGCTTAGGGCTTTCTTAGGGTTTAGGCTTCAGAGATTGGGTTCAGGGTTGGTTCAGGGCTTAGAGCTTTCTTAGGATTTAGGCTTCAGGGTTTTTGGTTGGTTTAGGGCTTGGGGCTTTCTCAGGGTTTAGGCTTTAGGGTTCAGGGTTGGTTTAGGCCTTAGGGCTTAGGGGTTTTGGTTGCAGGGTTGTCTCGTTGTGTTGGTGCGCCAAGCAGCTGTTTTGGTGCGCGCGCGTCCGCTAATTGCGCGAAGCAGCGTTTCTTTGGTGCACGAATCGGTCTGTGGTATTGCACGAATCCTTGGTGCGCGAATCCGACAGCGTAGAGCGCGAATCCGCCGGGCGTAGTACGCGAATCACTTGTTTCACGTAGTGCGCGAATCGGCCCTTTTGGCGCGCGAATCTGCGTTTTTTGTGCGCGAATCGGTTTCCAACATGCGCCAGAGTGCTGGCAGAGCGGTGTCAGCTGATTGTCTGAAGCGAGACCAGCCAAATCTGCAGAACATCAGCCGCGTGGCTGCGGTTGTGAAGACTGATCGAAGCCAGTGCTCACTCCTAGCTTTTTTGAGGCACCAGCGTAAGGCGGGGCGGATGTGGTATTCGGGAGGTACACAAAATCAAATCAACTGGCAATAAAGTGTGTTGGGCGCTTGGATTTGTTGTGTCATGTTGATGAAGAAGGGCGGGGATCCGAATGCTGTCATTCACAGCGCCGGCAAAATTGCGCATGATAACAACAAGCAGAGCGTTGACAAGGAGCTGGGCAGGCGTTTTTCTCAGACGCCTGGCTTCTTGGAGTTGGGTGGGCCCTGGCCCGAGCGATGATGCCGGAACCTTTTTGGAGGGAACTTTGGTTTGTTTCTTCGCGCGATTCGCGCGTCCGTGTCACCATATCATATTACGGTTCCTTGAGCATCCACGCCGGCCAAGATGATAACGTGCATGGTGCCAGACCTCAAGCATTCCGGTACCCCCGAGCATCCATGCCGGCCAAGATGGTAATTAATGTTCGTGTTACTGGAGCATAGGGTTCCCCCAAATATCCATGCTAGCCAAGCCTGGATGATACTGATAGTGTCTGGCTTAGCAGAGACTTGTAATTTCTCATGCTTCCTGTACCAAGTTCCCTGTTTTGTTTCTAACCGCCTCGTCTGTTGAAAGCTTTAGTTATTAGCGACGTCGCGACGCTTCTTCTCAAAATTATGGCCTGTCCTAGCGTGGTCTCGAATGCTCTCCATTAACTTGCTGTATCATGATGCTGTATGCGCAACGAGCGGTGTAGGATCCACCGTTATACGCTTTGCCATGTTAGGCTTGCTAAGAGAGTGCTTCCACAGACCCAATTTACAAAAAATCTCCCCCTGGAACTGAGCATCCTTTCGGTGTCCGGGGTCGAGCCGTTCCGGCTGCCAGCACCATGCGCATGTGGGATTTTGTTTGTGGCCAATGTTGCCTTTGAGTTGCAGATTTCTGGCTGCTTTGGAGAGGACTTTTAGGCGGAAACATGAAAGGCACATCATGCCTTGCCATGCCCAGTACGTACTGTATGTACCCAGTCGCATGTAGTCGCATAGTTAACTTGATGCTGAATTCTTGCCCTGCAGGTGCAAGAGGACTAGTTTCACAGACTGCTGCCTCGGATCTGCCAGTGTTGCCCATTTGCGGAAAATCGGCCACTGCCACATCCGTGTGCTACACACCAGACCCCAAGAGCAGACATGTTTGTGGTTTGCGTACGCGATCCATCTTGCATTGGGCGGCCATAACCACGAATGCAACAGGAGTTCCTCTAAAAACGCGTATTGTGGCAGAATAGGAAGATTTCAATGAGTAAATTTCAAGGCCTTTCGTGAAACTCATTTGAAGGTTCTGCTGAAGGGTTCTGTCCTGGAAGAGTTTGCAAGAATCCCTCTTCTAATAAATTGCAATGGGAGGCTTCTTATCATCCCACATATCTGAGGACAGGCCTCTCTATTTGACGGAAGCCAAGTCGCAATTCACACCTCTGCATCCACGGCTCGAATGTAGTGGAGTGCAGTGTCATATCCGCACTTCAGCCAGAGCTATGGCAATGGCTTCGGAGGCAAGTGTAGCAACTTGAAGATGGAACTGGACTGGAGCGGCCACAGCAGGCCGAAATGCACTTGGCCAAATCCTGCCGAGTGACGGTACCAACCCCAGTTGCCAGACAAGAGCGCAGGCTCCTATGGTGTTCTACGATCACGCTTCCCAAGGTAGAGACGGAAGTGCCCATTGTTCAAACCTAAGTGATGCATGCCATCAAATGCTTGCGAAAGCTGCGAAGATCAATCAACTCGGTTGCAGATGCAGAATGAATGTTTGAGGACTGCGACCTTGGACACTTGGGCCTGCATCCCAGAGAAAGGCCCGCAATAAGACAATCAGAATTGTTGGAATTCGCCGACACAAGTCGCAGCGTAAGAGGGGTATCGTCTAGCATGGATTGCAAGCAGCAGATCATGGCACACAGGAGAGAGGACAACTCTGGTGATCAGGGAAATGCAGAAGGAAGAAAGATGCGCTTTTGATGCTGTGCATGTTCACGCGAAAAAACGTCGCATGACATGTGAAGATCAGACAGCCCGACCCGCTTGTGAGTTGAAGAACCTGCTTTGGAAGCCTGGACAATTGGGCGAAGTCACCCGATGCAAGCCCATTTCATGCAAAAGCTCACCGCAAAGCTCGTTGATCTTGAGAATTGCTGTGCACAATAAGAACTGCCTGCACAGCTTGAGGCGGATGCCAGCTGGTGCTTTAGGGCTGTCAGGTCGGAAGCATGTTGTCTGACGTCGTCACGAAATCCTGCCCCCGAAAATGTTCCTTGAATCAGATTCAAATTCTCCTGTCAGCACTGCTAGCAGTCCTGTGCGGCAGCTCGGGTCGTGCTGCTGCACAGCAGGAGGGGTCATAACAGTAGCGGATAGGAGCAGCAGTTGCAGGAGCAGTGACAGTAGCAGAAGTAGAAGAAGCAGCAGCAGCAGTATTAGTGGGAGTAGTAGGAGTAGTAGTAGTCGTCGTAGTAGTAGTAGTAGTAGCAGCAGCAGCAGTAGCAGTAGTCGAAGTAGAAGTAGAGGTAGCAGTAGCAGTGGCAATAGCAGTAGCAGTAGCAGTAGTAGTTGGAGTAGTAGCCATAGTAGTGGTAGTAGTCGTAGTCGTAGTCGTCGTAGTAGTGGTGGTAGTAGTAGTAGTAGTAGTAGTAGTAATAGTAATAGTAATAGTAATAGTAATAGTAATAGTATTAGTAGTTCTAGGGCAGTAGTGATAGTATACGCTCTAGGGCTTCAATGATGGAGAATCGAATGGGAAAAACACGGACAATTGTGATGGAAGCTGGGTTAGAGAGGTTAGCATTGGGATTGTGGCGGCCTGCGGAATTGGAGTGTAGGATTTGGGGTGCATGTAAGCTGTTTCTGCTTTTTACTTTTGCTACTATTACTACGAAACCCCATGGCGCAGAGACTTCACCCAATTTGAGGCCCAGGCGCCGTGGTGCTTGATAGCTCAGTAATAGTAGGAGTAGTAGTAGTGGTAGTAGTAGCAGTAGCAGTACTAGTAGTACCGGTAGTTGTAACAATAGCAGTACTGTAGTAGAAGTTGTAGAAGGAGAATGATTGCAACGGATTAGCAGCTTGAGAGTCAAGAGTTTAGGCGGGGCCCTAGCAAAAGTCTCAAGCGCGACGTAGGCGAGCTGACATTTTTAGCATGCGCACCACAACCACATAAAGCCAGACAAGGGTAAAGGGCGTGACCCCTACTATAATAGTTTTGGCAGCTCTCAGTGACTCAGGTCACGATCAGCCGCTTGCTTCAAAAATCCTGAAGAAGCGCCGTGATGAAATGGCACGGCGAATGCGGCTGTGTTCCTGCCATGTTGTTTGCTGTAACAGCGCAGCTCAATGACTACAAGCCAACGCGTGAGTTTGCGAGTTTTAGCTTTTGTTGCGAACTCTGCCAGGCTTGACCCTCGCCAGAGGGTCGGAGGCGTACCTCATGAGGCTAGTCTGCCATCCTGCCAAGAGAAACCTGCCTATTCTATTTTGCAAAGGTCCTTGCATCGCAGTTGGAAGGTAAGCGACGCGTAGCTGAAGCAGCCAACTCAGAGATGCCAATAGACTTGGTCTTGGGACTTTGGCTCGGAAGGTATGGCGTGCGAGGGAATTGAATTGATTTAGTGGAGGAGACCTGCAAGAAGCACCCGAATCCAGAGGACACGGATCGTGTTCCGCTATCCCTATGGCTTAACACGGCCTCGAAAAATGTCGAAAGGCATACCATATCGGGATCCAGAGCATGTCTAGCCAGCAGATGACTAAGCATGAGTGTGAACAGCCCAACCCAGTTCGGAACAAGGCTTACAACAAGACATTAGCGGAGCTTACCTAAATCTGAAAAATAAAACGCACCCTTCGGGGAAGTTCGGCTAGGAAACAGTAAGAACCAACAAGTGGAACATGGCTTTTAGAATCCATCCTCAATCTTGCAAGAATTCTCATGCTATGCGTCCTTCAGAAACTGGAAAACCCTATGCGAGTCAGATTCAGCTAGATATGTTTGGGTGTAATGTGAAGAAGAGGGGCAGGGCATGTCATCACAATAGACAGTTTGAGTTCAAGTGACCAGAAGATGGAGCAAGCTTGTGCAAGTGAAATTTCTGTCCCTGAGGCGATGAAAAAACAACCGGTCTGGAAAGAATATCATCAGCAAACACGCCATGCAAGTACGAAGATCTGCCAGCTTTGAGGGCCAGTAGCGGCTTCGACTCGAGCAGGATAGCCCTCGAATGCAGGTCTGATTCGAGGGCTTTGATGACGGCCGCAGAGGTCTGCATCTCTTGCGAATTCTTCCGAAGCGAGTGGCAAACCGCTCGAACCACACATTTCGACCGCCAAGTTGGCTGTTGGTGTTTGCTGGCAACGGCTCAAGAATTTTCTGCAGTTAACATTGTGGGTCAGCACTTTGTAAATCAAGACACGAGAGACCTCCAGGACTTCACCTGCGACCAGCTTCTCATTCCCAAAGTACTAAGCCTAAGCGGTACAAAGCTCCTTTAGCTGGGCTGAGGCAGAACAAGCGGAAGACGCATTCTACGCGCAGAGTGCGGTCCTGCAGGAGTACATCATGCACAGCATTGTAATCTTGAGCGCAGTAGCTGCAGATGCGGCATCCACAGCCATTGTGTATGTGCAAACGCGCTGGACTTGCCATGCTGCATTCCAGGATCAGATCCTGCAAACTGTGGAGGGCATGAAGGCAGCCAAAGTTTTCTGTACTGGCTTGCTGCTGCTTCTACTGCTGGCCGCAAATCAGTCTTTCAAGAGCTTACGCTGGAGCAAAACTACGGTCACATATTGTCAATCAAATATATAAAAGCAAGGGGGCGTGCAATTTAGCAAACCCTGCTCACACGTCAAGGTCGAACATGATATATGTTGTGATGACCCTCAGAAAAGGCATGTGCCAGGACATGTGCATGTGTACGCCATAAATCACCTCATGCCCACACATGTTTCCGTGTGCTATAAAAAGGCCTACAGCCACGAGAATTGCGCATCACTGGATCAAAGGGGATGTTCTATATGTCAAATATGCCAACTTCGTAACCAGTCTCAGAGTCGCGACTGTCTGTGGCATGCCACAGCTTTCGGGTCTCGCATGCTTCTTGCACTTCACATTACTTGGTCCAATGTCAAGTTTACTCATCTTAATGTGCCAGCAAGCACAGGGTGGTATGGAATGGTGCATGTTCCACTTGCCATACTTGCCAGAGTTCCAATAGTGACTGGTATCATGCCCGTCACGGTCGTCATACAGTGGGGAAGTCCAAATTTGTGCTGCTTTGCAGACAAAATTTTGAGGACTTGAGACTGTCGGGTCATCATCCTCGTAAGCATTCTGTTTTTTGAGGACCTCTCCTGCCTTGCACCTATAGCAGAGGCGTATTGCGCACTGTGCGTTTGTTTGTATGGGCTTGTGTGGGCTCTTAGTTGTACACAAGCCACTGAAACTGAAACGACTTGCTGACAGCACATTACTGTGCCGCTCTTGCATGCACGCGGTGTTCATGCTTCCAGATTGATTATCCTGGACGAGTCTGCGTAGATTCATGTGGATGATGATCACTTGTTGACTTAGGGCGTTGTTGACACATCAAGTGCTATGACTCATTTGTTGTCAACCGGTCATTTTGGTGCTCTTGACGGTGAACTTGACCAAGATGTGGACAAACTCCAGCATGCGAGCAGGCCCTGCGCGCCCGCGACAGACAAATGGCAGTGGTAGATTATTCCCTGGCCAACTTGCGCAAGGACGTCTAGTCGGCAGACAATTTTACTGGCACATCATCTGGTCTCTCAGGAGCAGCGCCGAGAGTACGCGCTCAGTGATCCGGATGCTCTGAAGAGGGAGACACTGCCGGTCCCTGAAACGAAGTTTTTTTCGGCCTCGCAAATCTCTCAGCCACAACCTGCCCAGGCCTGATCCAGAGGACCCCTCTTTCGGACCTAGTTCTATGCTCAAGTCCTGGCCTTGGAAAACACTGCGCAGATTTGTATAGGCCAACAACCGCGGGAAAGGTAGTTTCTGAGTGGATACAATTGTCAATGTTGGATATTTGTGCTTCGGGCAAAATTCACCTGCAAAGCCATCTGCCAAGCAGCTGTGGTGACTGTAGTAGGCGGTCTGAATCTGGCATTGTACATTAACCTGGCTTTGTGATGTTCAATGCTACGTCATGTCTGGATCCATGGCAGAAATGGCTCCAGGTTCCCCAGCCACGGTGCTGCCCTAAGATGCTGGCACAATTGGCACCGCTCTGCAATGCTCTGCAGCTTAAAGAGATGAACAGACCAATCTTTGCAAGGCAAAGCCTCGGCGGAAGCAAAGCGTCAGAGTAGGATCCTGAGCACAGGTGAAGCCCAAAATTGGCACCGGCTTCTGTGACAGGTTAGCAGTTGCATGCAGTTGCGAAGCCGGTGTTACGCAGGTCAGGAGGATCAAGCTGCCTGGCTGGAGCGCAGACCTCAGATGTCAGGGCAAGGCGATTCTCGCGGCCGGTGCCGTAGGTATGGACAATCAGCGCAGGTATCAGGTACAGGAGAAGCTGGACCGGCAAGCGCAAGAAAAGGCGTTCGACAAGCTCCACGATGATCGCGTGCCCAGCCCGGCGGACAAGTTTTGCCGCTTTTATTGTTCATACCTTCGATGGCCTGTCAGTAGTCAAAGCTCCTTGCAAGCCTGTCCACCCCAGATCCTTGGTTTGAGGCAATGCTTGCTTCGCAAGTCAGAGCAGTTTGCGAAGATAACGAGATGCAGGTCGAGTAGCACGATATGTACCATCGCAGAGCCATGCACTCGTGTGATAGTACGAAGACACGCTTTCGATTGCAGGAGCAACGGGACGCCAAATGCGAAGAAGCCGCTGAGTGCCCTGTCAAAGTGACCGTCAGCAACACAAGTGTCGATGTGGACGGCCTGCTGTCAGGAACCTCCGACTGGCCCAAGCTGCTAAGGAGCTACAACAGGCAAAGGGCCTCTTTCTGATTAGCAGAAGACTTGGCTAGAGCGCTGCCAGGCGAAAAAGGCAGAAGACGATGCACTGAAGCAGAAGCATATAGATACGGTACGGGCCCTGATGCAAAGCAGACTCCGAGGGCTCACCAGCAATTTTATTTGACAGGCATTTCTCATCATGCTATGCCTGGCTGTGAGATCCATCGTGTGTCAGGTACTGAACTCGGAGTGGATTGGAGAGATGCACGACGCTAAGATCGGCCTGACTGGAAAGCCCATGAAGGCCGAATACAAGAGGCTGACCTTGGAGGAAGAGCAGGCCAGCGCGTATGCCAGCGGAATTTGCCAGCAGAAGACGTCCAGCCTCCAAAACACGCCAGCCTTTGAAGCGGTTCGGTTTTTGGCTTGAGGAGATCTACAACTCCAACGCGCGGCAGCTCTTAGACAAGCAAGCCAAGAAGAACCGAGAAATCCTGGAAAAGGCGGGCCGGACACTGAACTCGCTTCGCCTCCAAGCTCACTTCGGCGGGAACATAGCTTGTATGATACCACGCATGCTTGGGTGGACCTTTCTATCACTGCTGTTTTTATCTTCCGAGCAGGCAGAAGACGCCTCAAAGATTCACTGCAATGCATCTTAGCTGCATCAGTTGTGCTTGGCCCAGCACGTCACACAAAATCCAGTTTTGCCACGCAAGTGACGTTAGCATTCTGGCCTTGGCTGGCTAAGTAATTCTGCCAAAGCATTTCGCAAGGTTGCAGTCCTGGGCGCGCTTGAAGAAGAACGTGTCCGGCAGCAGCAGGACGCTTGATCAGTGCAAACTGGAACACTTCGGCAAGTAGCTTGGCTTTGTGTCGCCACTACTGTACAAGTCCATTTTCCCCACGTGTGCTACTGCTACAGGAGCGCAGGATGCGCATGGTGGAGGAAAACAAGAGGCTGGCATTTGCTGCAATCTCAGAAAGCTCCCCAGAGAACTACTGTAGGGCCCTTTAGGCTTTGTACAGAACAAATCTGGCGCAAGTCGTGCGTGCAGCAAGGCCAAGAAGGAAGCTGACAGGGGAGAACGGATTGAGTACTTCAAGTACGATCCGTGAGTAGATGCTATAGCTTAAAGCCCGTGTCCGATTTCACCCAGCATGTGTGGATTAGAGATGAGACGCCCTCGCAAATGTGAGGGGCCGGCGGACTGACGGCAGCGCGAAACAAGACCTATTCTGCTTCGTGAGTCGAAGCCGATCAAACCACAGCAACGTAAATCCATTTGCGAAGTGGCAGGTGGTGTATGTCAGCATCCTATGTCTAGGACTCCTGGCGACGAATCCGACTTTGGAGCAAAAAACACCTGGGGTTGAGTGATTGGGGCTTTTGCCGGACGCAAGCGCAGAACGCAGCAGCAGTCCTGCAAGGTGCTAACAGACAGCTTGACAGGTTGAGAAGAGTCACTGCCTATCTTGATGTGGGTCCTCTTCTGATAACTTGTTCTACACCATACTACTCCCCACATTCCTCACAACTGCAGCTTCTGCCAACACCATCACCCCTCTTCCAGCCTCCACTGATCATCCTGTTCGTGGTCGTTGCACAGCAATTCAGAAGAAGGACCCACGACTATGGAAGCTTTGATGTACGGCTTGAGCCGACAACGCAGACTTGGGACAGACTTGGGAGTGATGACGGCGGCCCTAAAACATAGGGTGTGTACTGTAGCAGGCCTTGCAGCCCTTGGGCGACAAAGGTCTGGTAACAGAAAACCGGTCTCCGAGAGACCCGGCAACAAACCCACCTCTTATCCCGAAGCCCGCGGCAAAGGGGCTTGAAAAAAAGAGCCGCATCAGACTTCGGCCAAGAGTAGTCTGTCAGCATGGCTGCATGCAGATACTGTACATACATGAGCTATTGTCCAAATTAGTCAATATTAGGCTTGCCAAAGGTTCATTCAGAGTGCACTTAGGGTTCCTTCGGTAGTTCAGCATAGTCCCTAATATGCTTTCTAAGAGAAACCCACGCCCATTAGTTGTTTGGGAAGTTCACATGCTGATGCTCAAGAGCTAGTAATACCAACCCTTGCTTTGAGATGTATCCGTTACTCTCATGTGCTTGCAGGATCTCAAGATGTCACGTGGGATGGCCAGTGTCAGTCATGAAGGCTCAAGAGAATCAAAACCGCCAGAGTTGTGCAACATGACATGCGCTCTGTTGCTCCAGCTCTGCACACAAAAAGCAGATTAAGCCACCTCGTGCAATCTTGGATGCCAGCCGCCTTACTTCACCGCAGCATAGTCACAACCTAGTTTGCACTAAAAACAGTCATCTGGGCTGCGATGCCTGTCAGAGGTGATCCGGACAATCTCCTGGTGCTTCCTCCATGGCCTTCTGCACATTCTGCACTTTGGATTGTAGCGTCAATGTGAAGGATGTTGAAGCCCGTGACTTCACGGCATGACTCTTCCTGAAGCATTGCTGTCCTCCAGACGTTTCGACGTTGTCTTGCTCCATGCCGTGGAAATTCTGCCAGGTCGGGCGACACCTGGATCTTCCTTTGAATGACCTTCCATCCCTGCTAAGGCAGACCTTGCAGAGTTCCGTGAATGCTGCGTCAAGAGCTAGCAGAAGGCAGCTTGAAACAGTTACAGAAGATGATGGAAGAGGCACACTTGCCAACGGGTCTTCGGACGCAACACCCGAGGCAGGCTTTTGCAGATCGATTTGATTATGTGCCTGACGCTCAGAGTGCAAAGCTGCCTTGTCATGCTAGAAGCAGGCTGCCGTTAGCGCAGAGTGTTCAGAGCTCTGTGGACAAAACTTGTTTGATTGAGTTCGAGACAAGTTCATGTGACGGGTCACAGTTGCATGCGACATCTGGCTTAGTCACTTAACATGTCCAGGGGCTGGCTCTAGGCATGGCTATGCTTTCCTTCAAAGCTCCATGACTCAGTCCCAGCAAGCAAAGTGGCAGATTTCCGATTTCCCATGCCCCAAGAAATCTCCAAGAAGGGAAATGTTCCTTACCACGGTGAGTGCCACCAATTGCCGAGAAAAGATTGTTCCGGGACCGCTTGGCCAACTTTGGCTTGGAGCACATCCAGTTCTCTGAAAGAGGAAAACTCTGTGGGTTCCCATCTGCATGTCAACACATTGTGTTATTCCAGAACACTGCTGCGCGCCCTTAATTCCGGTCTCCACCGCAAACAAAGGCCTTCACGGTTGTAATTGATGCGAAAGCCCAGACGGGAATCTTTAAGCGCGGCTCCTCTCAAAAAACCGGCGGAGGCCAGTGCCACGTAAAAGAAAAGCGAAATCTTGGCATGTTTATGCCCCCAACCACTAACGAAGCCAATGTGTTTGCGGCCCTGCAAGCGAGCATTTGCTTGAGTCTCTACGCCTTACACCTTTGGGCAGCACAGCTGCTGCAATCTCTATGGAAGAGTGGTAGGTGATCAAAACTCCCCAAAAGCAAGAAGGGGAGTGGCAGAAAGGAAGCTGCCGCACGCAACTACTTGGCGTGTGTAGGCTGGGATCGGAGGGCTTCTTCATGCAAAGCCCGATCTACCGTGAGCAAACTCCTTGTCGTGAAGGCAGGAAACAAAGGTTTCAAACCCCGCCCTAAGTGGCGGATAACCTCAGTCAACGAACAGTCAAGCAGAGCTTCTATGGCAGTGTATGGACGTCGGCATCTTGCCACATTGAAGTTAACAACAGACAGTTGCTGCCAATTGGTAGATATCAACAACAAGCAAACATCCCATGACATGTGAACACGCAATCGCAATATATCGCACTGAAGGGCCGTCTTTGTGCTGGCACGCATTGCTTTCCTGAGTTGAAGGTCCATACCGTTGGCCGCAGAAAACGGACAAGGCGTTGGACACGATTTCAAGCCCTCTGCTCGCGCCGTAGATTTCTATTTCTCATTGAATGACACCTGCATGTTCGTCAGTTAATCTGCTGCGGTAAATCTGAGGCGGAGTCCTGCCTTACTTTAGAGGCCGGGGCTTGGCAGAGCAAACTGCGCACATCGGAGCTTGGCACGAGCACCATGAGCTAAGGGTGAGCAATGGCGTTCTGCCGTCATTGGCAGAGTTTCACAGTCGCTGGATCCAGATACTGCATCCAGCCCTGCTGAGACCGAGGAGAGGTGGTTGCAACCCTATCACCTGCAAAACAGATCTTGATGAGATGCAGGAGCTTCAGCTACGGTTGGAGACAGAGCTGCGTTGGGTGCACCACTCCTCGTGCAGTTGTGCGCAAGTGCCGCTACCGCTTGTGCTGAGAACGCGCGTGGACTCTGGCTAAAGCTTTGCCGCACGCTGCGAACAAAACATCAAGGCATCTTTCAAGAGAGTGGCATCTAGACTAAGCACAGTTCGGAATGCAGTACAACAAGCTGCGCGCACAAGGGCTTACCCACATGCGCAAATACTAAACTGTAGTCTCCCTTGGCGGATTACTCTTTGTGGGCAAGAATGCGAGCGCTGCGAAGTTGCAGCGCGATTGTCTCTGCGGCTGGCCAAGCGGATGACAGATGCCTGACGGACCGTTCGGCATCTATGCGGCCTTTGCGCCGACCAGTGCTGCAGCCTCGGAGGAGCGATTGAGCATTCACCGCATCCTTCAGACTCCCGCTCGACGGTTCTTGCGCCTCTGCAGTGCAGTTTAGATTGTGTAACCTAAGCAAATGGTCCAAGTAAATGGTCTGCTGGAAGAGCCGCTGCTGGCAGCTTGACTGACAGCGTCAGCTCTCCCTGCAGCTCACCATGGCCAGCCAGCAGGATCTTTTAGATGGCGGAGGTATGCCCAAGCAAGTGCCCCGGGAGGAGAGGCCATTGCCTGGGGCTCCAGATCAGCAGAGGACCTGCCAACAACTAGAAGTTCTAGAAGCGTCAGAACCTGTTGGCTTGGTCTCAGAGCCAGTTGGCACTTTTCGCATCTTTCTGCACTCCAATCACTGGTAGCTTGCACCAACATCATCCAATATCACTGATGATAGTGGTCTTGTGGGCTCGTCCGTCAAGGTGGCCCTGAGTGACAGCTTCAGTGTTCTCTGCATCAGGTCTCTCAAGCGTTTGAGACAGCTGCTTCCACTGATTGCCAGCCTATGTCGAGACATGTCGCTGCATCATGCCTACACGTGTCTCTGTGTGGATTGATCAACAGCAGAGCTCCATGACGAACTTTGGCCACATTGTGCCAGGATTGATGCAGATGTGGAGGCGGCCGTTTCTGGAGGTGCCTTGCGCAGATCGAGGGTTTTTTTTGAGAGGCAGAAGGTGCGTCTAAGGAAGCGAGGCATCATTCAAACAGAGAGAGGCGAACAGGAAATACGCCAGAAAAGGACAAGAAGATTTCGAGAAAGGCTGAGCGCAGGCCCTTACTTGTAGCACTCCCAAGGATCCTGAAAACATAGGGCCCCTCTGGTCAGGAGAAGCCAATTGAGGGTTGTGTGACAACCCCGCGCCAGAGGATTATGTCCTGTTGCGCCGCGAAGTGCAAAACGCGGGGCTTCAGTATAAAAATTAAAGACCTTGAGAGGAAAACCTATAGCGATAACGAACACAATAAGGTCTAGGAGCAAAATAACGCCTGAAGAACTTTTCGGGTCAAGCAACTAGGATTTGCTATACAACGCCTTGTGCATGACATGGCATACCGCAATCCGCGAGCATCAGGGGCCCCAACGTGGCTCCATCTCCCATCTACAAATTTTGCCATCTTGAGAATCCTGAATCGACCATGCACATGTACCAGGAATGTCACCGCGATGAGCGGACATCCGCACACAATTCCATCATGCCTGTAATGCGCGACTACCCACACGCACTCGCCGGACTGACATCGCATGCCTGGAGCCGTCCACTCTTGACATCATCTGTCGCCTTTATGAGCAGTCCGCCCTTCTGGTGTCTTTTTCAAACCAAAGTGCAGGCCCAGTCTTGGCTTATATAAGCGTGCTTCACTCTTGGTGCATCCCATTCTATCTGGCGGCGGATTGGTTGTAGCATTAAGAGCAGTCCCCATAATCACTCCCTTGAATTCTCTTGGCCTTTGTATGTTCCTGAGTAGTGCTCCAGACGTGCCCCTGCACTTGCCTTGTGTATATTCTTAAGCGGGAGCTGCGCTCACTTAAACTTCTTGTTGCTTCCTTGATGCCCTTTCTTTCAGTTCCTTCATTTCCTTTCCTGCTCCCGCTGATTTTGATAACATGGACCTTTGAGGGCACGCGCCGCTCCAATCCTATTCGCGTGGAGCTGCTTCCCAAACCGAAGCAGTCTGTTCCCTATCGGGCGGCTATACTTGCTCTCAGACAGGCGCCATTCATGCATCATGACATATCATGACGTTGCCATCTGTCTGCACAGGCACAGTATGATCAGCTTAAGCTCGCCGTCTGCGACAAGCAACGTATGCTGTTGGCCATCATCCTGCACCCAGCCTGTGCCAAGTAATTCCTGCTTATTCCTGGTTCCACTGCCCCCGCTCTCTCTCTAAATTCGCCAGAGCTCACCCAGAATATCTCGCCAACTCGGCCTCCTTTCAAGGTCATCGTTTGCTTGACTCTTTTCCCGCAAGCTTCGGTTGCCCTCACCTGATATCTCCGAATTGAAGTTAAATGGCCTGATCAACCCCTTGATTCTGCTAAGGATGCTAAGGGATCACTTACCTTGATTTGGCCATGGACATTGAAATTGCTACGGACATTGCCCTTCCTGGTAGCAGTACGGATAGCAAGCGCATCCATGGGGCCGCTCACGTCATTCGCTTAGTTTGTTTAATTCTTACTCTCAATCAGAAGCTGTCCTGCAACATCATGTCCAGAAGAGTGCCCAACCAGCGTCCTCGTTACTCTTACATACTCTTGTAATGTCGTTGGCTGCTTTGGCCTATGTGCGGACCCATCCAAATTCCTTGCCTTCTCTTGTGCAGGTGAACCTGCGTAGACATAGGCTGGTGTCTGAGCTCATGCTTTCGCAGCATGATGCTCATGATGCCAGCGCCCTACCACTTGTGAGCCCGCCGTTTTCCTTGCCGACGATTTTCCTGGGAACCCTACCCCAAATATCATGTTCGCGGCGTTTTACTGAAACACCAACCCGGTGGCCTTCCTGTACTTGACAACACATGCTGGCCTCCTGTGTATGCCCTTTGCTTTTGGTCCAATCACGCGTCTCTGCAGACGCCCGTATTGCATTGGACATTTTTCTAGGTAACGCATTGCCTGAAGCCACCCACTGGCACGCCACTTGGTATCCGCCCTCTGGTGCTCCGGACACCCGCCCCCGCCCTCTGTGGCGCCCTCGTGAGTTTTGGCCTCCGCGCCAGGGCCTACTATGCGACCCTACAGCAAAGGTATGTGCTTGTAGGAAGGAAAGCTGATCAGGTTCGTGTTTGACACTCACTTGTCGGCCTATCTCAGTAATCTGCGTGGTTTGTTCACAAGGTGAATTTCTGGTGGGGTGAATAAGTTGCTCCGCGCTTGAGCACTGTGACCGCTTCGTGAAGGAGAAAGACAAACCTCTCCTGGAGAAAACATGTCTGCGAATTCCCCGGGTGATGGGTCTGTCTCAACGCACGTAGATGCTTGATGGATCCTTCCATCTGAAAGTTTGTGCTTTAATTATTTCGCTTGTCACATCTTGTCACACAAGCCTCTCAGCTAGCACCCTGTAGGCCGTGATGACAAGATAGCCTCTACGCAAGCACCTCAGGGCAAGTACATTCTTTTGTGCACAGATTCCTTGCTTGAGAACTGGTGGTTGCATCTGCCTTCTGAATATCGGAGGTTGTCAGGAGTTTAGCATTTCCAATCTTACTTTTGTTTCAGAGCCACGTCATGGTAGTTTGTTTCCGTGGTCTGACCCCTGTGATAGGGGCCAGGAAAAGCCGCCGGCTGCAGTCCAGCATCAAATGCATCGTGTAGGCATGGCTTAAAGGACAGCAACCATGCGCAACAACCTCAGGCCGAGCAAATCTGAGCTAGTATATAATATGAAACTCCTAGCTGCTTCTGGACACTGTTCCAGAGCATTTTCCAGCACTGTGGGATCTCGGTGTTGCTTTTGCCAAGAAGTTGGGTTTAAATTCATGCAGTCTTAGCAGTGAGATTGGAGATATGCTCAGGACCGCGCAGGGCTGGGACAATCCGGAGCTGTCTTCAGGCATGCTAGGCAAGCTGTGGCAAGAAACAAGAGACGAACATGGGTTCGCAGGTCCACATTTGCGTGGACTTGCCACTGGTCCGGATGTGATCCGGTGCGAAAATGTGCGAAGGACAAGTGATAACTCCTCCTGGTTGGCCGAGGTTGTTGTGGCCTCCCTCCTCTTCTGGTTTGCTACCAGGACAGAGTGGTCGCCCTGTGCTGTTGATGGGGTTTCGTATGGATTGTGTGGTCTTGTTGGTTTGGATGAGTTCAAGTGCCGGCCTTTGGCTAATGCCAACGGATGGTCAAGCAGGTTCATGATACTCCATGTTTGCTTTGCAGAGCTCGGAGGCTATGGCTGCCGCAGGTGTCCATGCTTCCCTTTGTGATGCTTTGCAAGGCCCTCAAGCCTGCAGTCCAGTCTGACATGGAAATGAGACGCTCCGAGGCACAGCATCGACAAGTGCACTGTGGTGCACGCAGGAAGGTGTTGTTGTTTCGCTGGGGCCAGTTCCGCTCTGCATCTTCAGACGGCGTATACCTTATAGGCACGACTGGAGCTTTGCAACGCCAAATAATTCCATTCTCATTCGCTATTATAGCCTGCTTGTGCTTGGGGCAGGGACATTGCTGCCATCATGGTGATCCGCGGGCGCAAGTCTGTAGCAAAGACGCGCTTGTTCAGACTTTGGCATGTTCAGCCAATTCCAAATGTCAAGCATTAGCAGCCAGGTTGCAGCCGCGGTGGCGAAGCATTTTCTCTGCCTGTGGCAACCTTTTGGGTATGCTTACGCGCTGACATTGGGCAAGGTCAGATCATCAGATGAGCTGGTGCTGAGTTTCAGCATGTCGAGATGATGTTGCGCGGTCAGGAAATAGTCCACATCCGGCTGCGTCATGACGAGGACCTGCAGTCTTCGCGCGATGGTTCAATGATTGCCACTTTCCTTCGTTTTCCAGAGGAGAAGAACCACGCAGACACAAGACTATCTGTTATGGCCTCAGCGTAATGTAGGAAGCGGCAAGGTGGTTGAAGACTTGACTCTTGGGCTCCTCAATGGTCACGTGCAGTGCTGTCGTGGAGGCTCTGCCCATCAGCTGGCTGTCGTGGCAGAGCAGATGCCTCAGCCTAATATTTCAGTCCGATTGGCAACTGGCTCCCACAAGATAGTCCGGTGGCCTCATATTGCCGTCTCGGTTGAGATTTACAGCTTGCATAGGTTTTGTCCATGTGTACATGCGTTACCAATGGACATGCTCACTGCCAACCTCGCAAAAACTGCTGAATGCAAGAGCCTGAAGTTTAATCATCTTCCACTTCCAAAAGCGCTGCGTCCATGCTCAATCGCTTTCCAGTAAGTGGGCCTGCGAACAACTCCTCTAATCACCTAAGGGAATCACTGCTACAAGCAGGGTCCTTGAATTAAAGTCACGGTGTGAGACTCATGCAGTATACCACACTGCGGCAGCTGCTTCTGAATGTTGCTAGTACTGTATATGCAGCTATGTGCAGCTGCTGCTTTTTCAGAGATAGTGGTTACTGCAAGATGCTGAAGCATCCCGAGGAGGAGGAGGAGGAGGAGATTTAGTTTTGGTAGGGGGTTCCTGTAAAACTCTTTCTTTTTGCTTTTGGCTTTCTACTTACTTTCGGCGAGTGAATGTGTTGTTTTGTTTTTTGCTGCTGCTTCTGCCTTCCATTTCCGTCCTCGATTCTATGTTCCATGTTACTGTTCTTCCTGCGTCTAGCTTGCTTTTTGCTTTCTGATTCTTCGGCCTCTTCTGCATCCTTTGTTAAATTACTGCGTGACTGGCGCATTTGCAACAATCAGAAGTGTTGCTAGTGGTAGTTGTAGCAGTCGTAGTAGTAGTAGTAGTAGAAGAAGAAGCAGAAGTAGAAGTAGTAGCAGTAACGGTAGCAGTAGCTAGCATTTGTGATGCTGGTGTTGGTGGTGCGACATTCAATTTTCACCCGCATTTGCAGAACCCAATGTGTCCATTGGGCATCGGGAGGAGCAGACTTGTTCATACCGGGTGCATTTAATGCACATGCCGACGGCATCTCGCGAAGTCATGCTACATAATTGGGCAAGCGGATGCGTACGTGCAAGCGCCGCCAAAAGACATTAGCTACATCCATTTAATATTCAATCACAGGCTTCAGTTCTTTGGTGACTGTACCATTGGTACAGTTGGTATGTACACCACTATTAGGCATTGGTAGACATTGAACTCAACATAATCCGAGGCCATTATTGTCACAAATGGCATGTCGTTCACCATACCTTGGAAAAGCCACATCGTGCCCATGTGATGGCCTGTCGACCCAAAGTGTAATGCCTGCAGCGAGCCGATACTCAACCCAATCAACCAGCTGGAATCATCGTGTGTGAGCATTCACTCACCTTCAAGGTAGCTGACACGGCCTGGCAGCTATACATGCGCTAAGCCCCAGCTGAAAAGCAATTGAAACCGCACCTCGAACAAGCTTTCAACGTTCGCACGAGATTGCAATTGGGATGTTTATGTGGCCTGAATGCAGCGATGACGAACTCCGGGCCGTGATGCCGGCTGTGAATCAAGTTATTGTTGGCATACTTGGCCAGCAATGGCCAGCATATTGCAAGCCTGTTCGCAGACTTTGCTTTCACATGGCTTGCCAGGATGCACTGCAAATCCTCAAGGTTTCTGATGGTTTCTCTTCCGATCTGTGCAATTGTCACGGCACACCTGAAGGCACAATCGTTCAGGCCTTCAGACCGCAATACGCGATGCAGAGCCCTGTTCTCACTTAACGCCTTTAACGCGCATCGCAAAAAAGCCTTCGTTGGCTTCCGAAAGAAGAGAACAATCTCCTTCAACAGCAGCAGCCAACAAGTCGCATGTAGGCAATCGTTTGAGATTTTTGGTAGTTCAGCTCCAGAGTACACAGTGCCCAGTCACAGTCTTTGTCCTTTCATTTGCCCCCTTGCGGAAATATGCGAATCCGCGCAGGGTCGCTTTGTTAAGTGATGTTAAGTGCGAAGCCGAGGATGTGGCTCCCGCACAATGCTGGTTTCTGTGGACAAGGATCGCGTGTGACCAGAACAGAAGCTATAACAGGCAAACAACTCACGCTTGCGAACGGTCGCTTAGATTGTACGAACCTGTGGAAGGCCGATGACGTTGTGGCCCACACTCAGTTCCGCTCAGAGCACGGCCCGCAGGCCCATTGCAATCTCTTGTCCCTGCAGAGGGTGAAATCGTGCGAGAGCCATGGCCTATATGGCCTTCGTCTCCTCAGGCTCCACTGCCGGAGTCTCTTCGGTGCAACGCCCAGGCATTGCGTTCACCTGGGCTGACATCCAGGAAGAGAAGACCCTTGTATTGAGAACGGCAAGGGCTCTACCTAGTGAATCCTTCAGCCTGAGGATTGCCCTGCTATTCCTTCAAGTTGCATGTTTTTTTTTGTCAGGTGGCTGCCGCAAAGTGGGTGGTTTGCGATGTGTTTGAGATGCTGCTAGAAGCTCAGAGTTTACACCAACGAGCTTTCTCTTGCTGCAGAACTTCAGGTGTGGCTGCTGTAGAAGCAGGGGTCCTGCATGGAGTTACTAACGTTTCTTCTAGCGTCACTGTCCGCTGGTTCAAAGGAATGAATGATTATTATCAAAAGCTTAGGTGTTGTGAACGTTCAGCTTGAAAATTGTAAGCTTTGCTACTGCAGGCCTTTGCGGTGCAGCAGCTTAAACTAAGGCTGGCCTGGCACGCTCGAAACCGAGTAGCCTGCGATGCATGCTCGCTGTTACTGCAGCCATTCCAGGAGGCAGCGGATGCGAGCTGTTGAACCCTAGCCTGATGGGCATGCTGGACAGTATTCATTAGAAATGCTTACTCTAGTCTGTTAGAATCCAAAAATATTATCACAAGAATTCGAAAGATGCGTTCCACTTTGCGGTTGGGACAGCGAAGTCACCTTTAGTGCTTGACTACGACCAGCTGTGTGTATTAGCGAGTAAAGTCGAAGGTAACACCGCCTCCAGCACTACAGTCCAAAAGCGCCCCAGTTGTTTACTTGTTGTTGGGGTTAGTATCATGTGGCACCAGTTGGAATCTGAATCGGTCGGAAAATGCGCTGCAGTACTCAGCATTTCGTCTGCAGGGTTTACAACAGGGACCGAGTTGCGTAGGGTGCGTGTGGTGTGGCAGCATTTTTCAGGACTGCGTAGAACTGACTTGACATCTTCGTTCATTGCATGCACGGCTTCTGAGCTTAAGAAAATTGCTGGGTGCCGCAGGCCGTGCTGCTCCAATTGCTCCCCTGCTTTCATATGCTGCACAGCACGGCAGGCCAACCCGAGCTACGCCTGGGCTGCTCGCAGCCGAACCGCTTGACTCGCGAAAAGCTGCCTTTTGATGGAAGCCGCGCAATGGGGGCGGCAGCGGCTTCGCATTGCAATGCAGCATGCTCCGCAGTTGCTCTGCGAAACCTGCAAGATCCTCGCAGGCTGCACACTTGGGCTTGCAAAGCGTCATTCTCCCCCCTCCAAGCCACTTGGCCAGCACGAGCATTTGCTGCATGTCAAAAGGCCAGACAATTGCTGGCTCGCCCCTCCTAGGAGAAGCGTATGCCGTTAGCCCTGGCAGCTGCAACTACGCGCGGGCTGTCGGGGCAAGTATCTCAGACTCCTGCAGAAGCAGTGGCCTGTCGATTGTGCGACAGTACACGATGATCCCTATGCCTGCGCTATTTTCACAAAAGGTATTGCTGCAGGCCGGACTCTACTCGCTGGCAGCAACGGAGGACCGCATGCAATCATGCAGTCAGGAGCCTCGTTTAACGTTTTCGCAGGGTATGAGCTTCAATGTCAGTCATGGAATGACATTGACAAGTGGGCCTGTCTTGCCCCACAAAATCAGACCCAGCTTGATGGTGTCCGGTTGAGAGATGTGTCAGTTCCGCCAAGCCTGAACGTTTTCTTCTGAGCAGCATGCTTTACACAAGTTCAAGCGATGACTGACAACTCAAACCTTCTTACGGCTCCCCTTCAGAGGACAATAAGGCACACCCTCAAATCTGGTTGAGTGAATGCGGGTGACGTGGTACCAGGTGTGTACACGAGCTGGCTGAAGGATGCTGAAGGCAAGAGTAGAAAACGGCAATCAGGGTTTGAAAGTTGACCGGCGCAAAGCTCTACCTCGAACTGTTTTCCTTGTACGAACGGAAGCAGAATGAAACAGATTTTGGCGAAGGGAGTAGTAGAAGCGCGACGCGACCCGATCTGTGCTTTTTTACTACCCATCAGCAATCAGCAGTCTTACATCGCACTGTCTGCAGAGTACGGATTGGTCGTCCTGACTTAACATGACTTAACAAGGTGCGCCAAAAGACAGCACGTTTTTACATGGCTTTCCAACCTCCACAGTAACAGCTGTTTGCGGGGGAGACGTTCGGCCGGCTCGGGTGCTACGCCGTTCGCTTCCTGCGGACCGCCTGGCATGGCCTGCCAGTGCGGGGCTGGCCGCGCCCTGCATGAACAGCTCGCGTCCATCAGCTCGCTCCAACGGGATCCGACAGGCTGTGCGGGAGGCGAGCTGAGGATGGCCGTCGCCCCACCCGAAGATGAACTGAGGATCGCGGAGGGGGCTTGGGCGTAGAAGGTACGATGCGGGGCCGACTTTTGCTAGTAATTTAATTCGAGAGACATTAATTAGGTGGAACGTGCAGAGTGCAGAGGTATTGTGCAGATTTTCTTTGAAACAATCCCTGCCCTTTCTAATGCATAACATGATCATTCGTACGTAAAGTGACCGGTCAAGTTCTACTTGTGGCGCCCACGATGCCCTGATCACGCAAAGTGATGGGGTGGGCCGTTGCCAGAGCCAGAAGTACAACGATGCTATGCGATGCTCACATTGCACCCAACGTTTTAACAGCGCACTCCGAGGAGGATGTAGCACCACTCGCTGTGCAAGTGCCGGCAGCTGGGAATGGCTGGTCCGCGCACAGCCCCTGGGCCGTGAGGTTGAGACCAGGTCATGGTAAGGCAATTGTGGGAGAAGATATGACATGTGATGCGTGTGCTCCGGATTCTCTGTTGGAATGGAAGAGATGTGAGCATAGCTAGGCGGCCGAAATTGACCAGCAAACGTTCCCTTAAAGTTCAGCACTGCAAAAAACTCCAGCGAAGTCTTAACAAATGCCTGAAGTCAGAAAGGTGGAACCGGTTTCGCACACTGTGTGATCATCACCGTCGGTCCTTGCCTCAGCATGCGACAGGTAAAGATGTTGAGGATCGACTGGTTGCAGAGGTTGGGATGTGATTTGTGCGGCCCTTGCACCACTGAGGCTTTGCGTGGCTTTGGAGTTGAACGTGACCGGTGCAACAGAAAGGGTCACAGCCTTGAAGTTGCAGCAGCATGCAGCAGCAATCCAGCTCTCCCAGCGTGAATATTTCTGATCAGAGCAGACCTGAGCTGAGGAGTTGGAGAGATGGTCGGGGCCAAAGTCCAAAGATACTCGAAAATGTTCGAGCCTGCCAGGAATTGCAATATGATCACATGCGCCCGAAAGCAGTGTTATGCTGAGCTCTTGCAAGTGCAGGGCAGCTTGTTGGGGGAGACCAATGGCAGCAGACGCTCAGAAGATTCACGCAAATGAACTCAACGCAAACGACCTTGGGCGCCAGAAGCGGAATCAACGTTCAAGGACCGCAACCGGGCGTGACGCCGCCTGCAAATGACCAGGCAACCACCTAATGGCAAAACCTTCGTCGCTGCGGGGACCTTGATTTTTGAGAATGCAGCTGTCTGTTGAATTCAACACTTTGTGCTTGGCCCTTGGATCCAACAGTTGCCAGCATTTGATTGATGCGTGCGTGCCCGCACTTGTCGAAGTTGTGTGTACTGCGCCTGTTGTGTCGAAGCGTTTTCAACTGTGGCTCTTCTGTTGCTGAGCCTGCAATTTGGAATCACACCTGCACTGTGTTATGTTGGATGTTTTGACGATGTCTTGCGCGCCATGAGTATTCCGTTTGTTGAAGATAAGACAAGCATGTTGCTGTGCTTGGAGCTAGCTCCATTGTTTCTACCGGGACATGCTATGTGTACTATTCGTATCAACAGAATGAATGGCTCGGGTTGTTCTGCGAATGCCGCTGCCCTCTTTGCGGTTATGTTTTCCGAGCATGGTGGTGCACTGATTGCGTGGGATTCAAGAGCAGCCGCACGTGCGCCACATGAACACTCGGTGCTACCGAAGTTTGGATGGCAGACGCAGCAAATGTCAAGCAGCTTCAACCCGAAGAAGCTGACATCAGCCCTGTCGCCAGCCTGTGCTACCTGCACCGCCCTGTGGCAGTAAATGGGATGTCAGCCCTCAGGCAAATCCACAAAAGTTCAGAGCCTGGTGTGTAGCCGAGTCCTCTCAGGTTGGCTGAGCCTGTGAGATACGTCTTGCTGCCATCGTCAGCCTTTATTCTGAACAGGCGGGATGTCAGCCACGCAATGCTAGCAAGAGGCGTCAACATAGCTTCCGAGCTCTGATCAGGTCCGGATATCCTGTTCTGCCCAAGAGGGGGAAGGCCTTGACCTGTGAGATCGTGTGCCCATTATGCTAATATGCTCATAGAGCATGCATCAGAGACACGATTAACATTCAGCTTCTGACATTTAGATCTGTCACCTGTAAAGGTTTTTACGCGGCTGGTGGGCAGAATCAAGATTTCTTGCCACGGGACTTTACTTCACAGGAGAGAACGGAAGAACGGCAAAAGAATGCAAGAAAAACGCAACTTTGTGGCTATTCCTTCAGGGCTGGAGTGGGACAGGTGCTGGGTGGGTGCTGCGGTGCTGCGGGCTTGGGGTGCTGAGTAACGGTGGGAACAGTGAAAGCGGGGGAGGGTTACGAAGGGGGACTGTTTTTTCTTTTTCCCCTGGTCCCTCTCAGATGCTGTCCTTTACAGCATTTGAAACGCTCCCAGACCAGCAAATGCTGCAATTTACAACATCTGAAGCGTTCCAAATGTTGTACTTTGCATTATTTGACACGCTCCGAGACCAGCAAACCGTGCAATTTACAGCATTTGAAGCGTTTCGATGTGGCTCAGTCCTCGTGTGGCTCTGGTCTCTTGGTCCTCTGGTCCTCTCGCGTTCTTCTGGTTCCCCTTATTTTCTCCAGTCCTGTGATCATTCCGGTCCGCTGGACCTGTGGTCCTACCCCTGCCTCCTC